TACAAAAATATCTCAAGAATACTTTAAATATAAAATAGAAAAAAATAATTATAAAAAAAATCCATAATTAATAACGTTTAATAGATATATATTTATAGATATATATGATCTACTTACTGGGATTCTTATGTGTTGTGCGTCGTAAATGGTTGGCTTCTTGAATTAGTACATTGATAGCTGCCACATTCGTGGCTCCTTGGTCGCATACGGTTGCCACTGGTTTAAATCCACAATTTATGAGTATTGTCAACCACTTTTTGATGCACGTTACAAGCTGCATTGTATTTGTTGTGCTTTGGCAAAATCCATATCCAATAGGCATGTGATTACCCGATGCAAGACATCTTACGTAAAACATTATTGCATGATCTGCAAATTTTCTTGTCTGCTTCATGCCCCAATTTTCGAAGCCAATAATTTTGTATTTTTTCGTATCATAATAAACGGCAGGTTGTATGGACATTTCATGCCAAATTAACGCAGAGTATAATTCTTCATCTGGGACTTCTTTTGCAACTAACTGGAGATATTTAACAATGATAGAGTTGCATTCGGTATGTAAAGGAATTTGTCTATGTTAGGCGTCTAAAGTAGTTGCAGAAGGACATAGTAGGTACTTAGAGAGAAAGTTATATGAAGAGCGAGATTTACGATAAATTCCAATACAGAAAATTTTTTCCTCCAATGTATAACGTCTTCCCTATTAAAGAAAAATGAGAAAGAGAATATTTACAAATAATTTTTATAATAATTTGTACAAATAATATTAATAGATTTTATTAATATAAATTTAATGATAATTATTTCAATGAGATAATAATTAATAATAGTAATCATATATAATAATAATAATTATATATTAATAATAATCATATATAATAATAGCAAAAAAATAGCAAATGAGCATAGCAAAAGTATAACAAAAAGATGAAAGAAATGGATATATAATTAGAGGATTGGATCATTAGTGGAATTCTTATTAGACTTTAAAATTATACCTGTGGTGATACATTGCTGTTTCTTAAGATCATATTTACAAGTTTCTGTCGTACACTTGCAGTTTTATCAACCCTGCTTTTCTTTATTTTACATTGCTGTATTGGTTTTGATGAAAGTTGTTTAATACGTCTCTTTAGATATCTTCTCTTTTTTCTCAGTTGGACAGTTCTTTCATATAATTTCTTAGCTCTTAGGGTCAATTTTTGTCTGCTGATTTCTTCAAGATCAGGTCTTGTACAAGATTTTGGGCTTTGTTAAAAGTGCATAGTAATTGTATCCTTTAACTGTTCAATTTCTTGTTCTTGCTGCTGTAATAACTGTTGTTGTTGTTGTATCTGTTCTTCATGCTGCTGCAATATTAAGTCTTGCTGCTGGTTTTTCAGTTGTTGTTCAACAAATGCATTATGATCTTCCTGACCTTGCAGAACGAGCTGTCTTTGTTCTTGTAAATGAGATTTCAGTTGTTTGTATTGTTCATTGCAAATGTCTTCTATTCCTTCGTTGTTCTGAGATGCATCCTGCGACGAAATCACTGTACTAGTATTTGCTGTACTTGTATTTGCTATACTTGTATTTTCTGTATGTGTATTTTCTGTACTTGTATGTGCTGTACTTGTAATTACGTTTTTATCTACTGATGGCATAAGTATTGATGGAATCGCCTTACTTTTTAAAACTCGTCTAGTTGGAAAACAACTATAATCGTTATCGTGAAAATGCTTGTAGCACATTCGTAACTTTTTCATTTCAGATTCTTCTAATGGCTCTATATGTAAACTTTCTAGCCATGATCTGCGACGTTCAATATTTTTGGGAAATAAATGAGATAGTACATTCTTCCCAGAATGGCAAGTAGAGACACAGCACGCTCTAACCATTTTTTCAATATGTGCTGCCACACAAATATACGTATATTTGATCAGTCAGAAGGCCAAGGACTTGTTCCTTCAGGAGCGATGTATAACGGTGATTGGTGAGAAAGAAAATAATCATAGGGCGTTACATAGGATCTTAGCGAAAGTGGCAAATGACCCGCAAAGCGGAACCTGTCTTAATGTCAGTTACGCGGATGTAAATGCCGCTGCCAACTACAATCTTACAGGCAGCCCGTACGCTCAAGCTCCCACAAGCACTGCCACGTATATATCTACAGCTAGTCTAAATACAGTGAGTCTTTTGAACAGTGCTGGTTTGAGTCTTAATCTGAATCTGGGCGCGGCTATCACCACCGGCATGGCACCGGTAACCAGAGATCCCAGGTTTAGGTCTCTGCTACATAGCCTGTGGAGGGGATAGGCTGTGGAGGGGATAGGATCGCGTCACGTGACGCTGACGCACACAAGCCAAGCGCCCCGTGTACATGTGCGCTCAGCGCTCGGCCAGCCTCGGCCAGCTAGAGAGAGCAAACATGCTATGCTCTTTCTCTTTCTCTCTTGAACCGGCGCATCGTCAGCCTCGCAGACAAAATACGTATATTAGCGGCTTGACTGTCGCGTGATTTTTTCTACACTAGATGCGATCAGATGCGATACACTATCATATCGCTTAATGATTTTACAATTTAAAAGTTAAAATCATTAATTAATTAAATTACAATTTCTTGTGTATGTAAAAAGTATTAACTTAAAAACAAAACCGAGAACTTGAGTCGCCAGTAAATAATTAACAATCAGCACAGGAGTTGTGTTCGACCAAACTGACAATTTTATTATTCAAAAGACGCTACGTTTCGATCGCAAAATTCGATCCTTTTCAAGCGTGTATTACTCACAAATATTATTTAGTTAGACATAGTTGCCAAA